TGGTAAAAGTACAAAACGCAGGATTCTTCTGGGATTGCTGCTAAAACCTGCCTTATTTATTATTTGTTCAGTGATTTGGAGGTCTATGTGATAAGGTCTCCTTGTTTTTATAGAACTCTAAAATCTTTCAAGTAAAACATTTAATTTACAATGGAGATAGAACACAGAAATACATTTCAAAAAATGATTGGTCTCATTTAATAAGAGAATTTTTAAAACCTAGATTTTTCACTTAACAGTTTAAGAAATGCAATGGCTTATTGATCTGATAAAAAGAAAAATCAAAAAGAAAGGAGGTTAGCACTCTGGGAGGCCAAGGCAGATGGATTGTTTGAGCTCAGGAGTTCGAGACCAGCCTGAGCAAGAGCAAGACCATGGCACATGCAGGCAGTAGATTTGCTGGCTCTGCTCTGAGGAATGAACTACAACCAATAATTTAAAATACATAATTTATGTGATCAATGAATGATGATGATGATGATGAATGAGTGGATGAATTGAGACTTTTCAACATATTGAATGTATTAACCTCTTACTTATATAAATACAAATCCTCTTCTAAAAAAGAAGGCTTCCCTCAGCACTGTTTCACAATCTCTTTCTGTAACCTGAATTTTTCAATAGTAGTAGTGATACACACCCCAGAAAAAATTCCTAAGGTTTCTACCATCCCGTAACTGGGAGCCATATTGCGGTTATGCCAGGAAAACTTTTCAGCTTCCTGCTGTATCACTCCATCCTAGTTACTTTCTAGAATTGTCCCTCTGAAAGTGAAAGTCTTTGATAGAAATAGGAACCGTCTTATAGTTACTAAATTGTATAACATTTGCACATATCAATTTTCAGCTCATAAGTTGCTATGATTTTCAATAGGTGGTGTACCTTAAGCACATTATCTTCTAAATTTCTCCTTCTTCTCAGGCACAGAGAGAAAACAATTTCGCAGGACTCCAAGAAGATTGGAATGAGGGTTCAAGCAGTTTGAATGTGGCCTCCGTGTTTATGATTTTTGGTTACATTCACTTCTTGGAACTACCACCAGGGGGCAGGCAAAGGAAGGGAGACGGCTGCAAAGCTGATCGATTTTAGGTATCTCATCTCAGGGAGTACTTCTGTAATAATAATTATAACCATAGCTATGTGTCCAATGACGATTTTATAGAAATAGTGTTCTTAAAATTAATTTCGATCAAATTTAGTTGGCATCATTCACAATTTCTTGAGCTCATAAATGTGCACATCCTTGAACTGGGAAGGGACACATTATCTGATACAGCTCTTACATTTTTGAGGTGAAGAAACTGCTTTGCTAACTACCTGGGTGCCGCAGAGGATGGACAAGATTTGCCTGCGGATTAATATGAGGCAGTCTAATGCCTGCATCAGTGTGTGTCGTTTTTACCCACTGTTGCTGTTATGGTTTTCATTTAAATTGCAATTCCTTGCCTTCTCCTGAACTAGAGACTATCATGCGAAATTTATATGAAACAGTATGTTAAAGGTATAATTTTATATAGTCCTAGATTCGAGTGCTTCTTGAATATTCTTATATTAAGAAAAATTTTTTTCTTCACCTTGAATAATTATGACATAGTGCATTTCCAGTCAAAAATTTACATGATGACTAAGTCATAGTCCTCATAGTCAAAGGAAGAAACAATGTATATCTATTACTAGTATCCAGGAAGAGAGAGACATATTTCAGCACATAGAACGGCATTTCTGTCTATATAATAGAGGATAAACATACATAGAATAATAAGAAGAAAAGAAAAAAGACAAAAGATAACTCATAGAATACTATTATCTACTAATATAAATATACATTACATGATTAAATATAAAAGATAATGTAAGAATATGTATATACCAGATATATAGTGATAATGATAGATATTATCACCCAGTAGACAGATGCCTAGATATAATATAGATAGATATAGATATAGAGATATATAAGAGCAGAGAGATGGTAGCAGGAAAGAGAAAGACAACCAGCCACCCTAGACTTCAGCACCATACCAGGTTAGCCTAAGGATACGCATCTTTGGGGAGAAAGATTAGTATTTTCTAGGGAGAAGACCTGAACTCGCAACTTTCACAGATCGTCGGGATTTACAGGGACAGACAAGTCCAGCGTGATAATAACAATTTGAGGAGAATACAGTTTGGATGCTTAAACAATATGAAGGAATGTTCCAGTTGGTCTGAGAACTTATTGAATGTGCTTATATATTGATCACATAACATTTTCAGGTATTCAGCTAGTGTTTGAATATTAAAGAAAAAGAGTGTTTTGGTATTTTTTGGTAAATTTGTTCCATAGCACTATAATGATATAAAAAATTAATATCTATTCATCCTAGTTCAGTTTCCAGCACCCTGTGTAGTCACAGTTAGGGTAAAGAAAGACTATTTTAACTTGAGAAATATTCATTTTGTATAAGACTGCTTTTTATTATTGATTATAACAGATATTCATTATGAGAATGTGAGAATATTATTGAATTATTAGAATAGCTATCCACTTTTAAGACTCTTTTGGTACTTCCATAAAAAAGTTACTATGAAGCCGGGGCGGCGGTGGCTCACGCCTGTAATCTAGCTCTTGGAGGCTGAGGCGGCGCGATTGCTCAAGGTCAGGAGTTCAAAACGCAGCTGAGCAGAGCAACGACTCATCTCTACTATAAATACAAGAGAAATTAATTGCCAACTGATATATAATATAAAAAATTAGCCGGGCATGGTGGCGCATGCCTGTAGTCCCAGCTACTTGGGAGGCTGAGGGCAGAAGGATCGCTCGAGCCAGGAGTTTGAGGTTGCTGTGAGCTAGGCTGACGCCACACGCACTCACTCTTACCG